AAGAGGCTCATAGGAGAAAAAGGAGGACTTATGTAATACTTTCAACAATAAAAATTAAAAGGATGGTGACTCCAGCCCTCAGGTTTCCCTGAAACCTTTCTCCATATCCCTTGTCTCTGAAGCAGAAGTCACAGGACGATTGTTGGTGACAATCTGAGCTTAGGTGTCAGTGGATCTGAGACTCAATGGGGGAGAATCTCAAACAAGAGACTCCTGTTAGTCTTGGAGAGGTGAAGAGAAGACACCTCTGGTCCCACTGGAATGGAACCAGGGCCTTCTGGTGTAAAGCTAACTACTACACGACAAAAACACATACTCAGGATGTTTCTCAGACAGTACAGTAGGAAATTTTATAATTATTTGATTCAAAAGTAAATTTGGTGGGTGCTTGGGGTTTTTTGGCACTACATTTTATTTCCCAGGCAATTCCCTAGGGGATAAATTGGAAATATCCTCAAATAGAATCATAGTAAAAGCACAAGATAAAAATTCACTAAAACCTTATTTTAATCCTATGATCACTTCTATGTCTTTCGTTCATTCCAGGATTATGTAAGGATGCGCTGCATATCTTGCCTTCTTTCCTCTGAGCTTTGGCCACTGCCTTCTTGAAGTCATTTTGGGGAGGCCAGCACCGAGTTGACATAGACTTAAATCAGGGGACATTGTGGGTGAAAGAAAATGTAAGAGCAGAGGAAATGTATCCTATTTATATACAACCTCGCATGCAAATCAGGTAATGATCCAAAGTCCTGTGTGTGTTATTGGAGAGCAAGCGGGCAAACTTAGCTCTGCCCAATCAGAGCGCCAGAATCCCAAATTGCACTTTCACTGGTTAAGATGTAGCTGAAACCTTAACCAATGACACATCCGCTTTTTCGCGCCACATTTATAAAAAGTGCCGCCCAAGCACTTTCGCTTTCGCAACCACTTGCAGTGAAGTTTGTAGTCAGGCTGTCTGGGAGCGGGAAGCAGGGCGGCACGGCTCGCGCCAAGGCTAAGACGCGGTCCTCCCGGGCCGGGCTGCAGTTCCCCATAGGCCGCGAGCACCGCCTGCTCCGCAAGGGCAACTATTCGTAGCGGGTCGGGGCGGGCGCACCCGCGTACCTGACGGCCCCCATCGTGGAGGTGGCGGGCAACGCGTCCCGCGACAAGACGCGCATCATCCGTTGCCACCTACAGGTGGCCATCCGCAACAACGAGCTCAACAAGCTGCTGTGCAAGGTGACCATCTCGCAGGGCGGTTTGCTGCCCAACAAGGCTAGGGCAAGTGAGGGGAAGGAAGCCACAACCAAGAAAGGCTCTTTTCAGAGCCATCAACGCTTTCATTGAAGCGCCTTTGCACGTTAAACACGTTTCTGTGCGAACTGGTTAAATCAACGGAATGAAGGGAGATGAGATCCTATTGATTTGTAAATCGATAGAAACTACAAGCCCTAAGCAGTGCAGGGAGTGCCCAGCTGTTTCCAGAGGCCTATGGGTGGCTCTGAAAAGAGCCTTTGGGTTTGGTGGCTGTCAGGAGGCAAACATCCTACTTCTTTTTCGGAGCCGCCTTCTTGGCCTTCGCGGTCTTAGGTTTGGCTACCTTGGGCTTGGCCGTTTTGGCTTTGGCGGCCTTGGCTTTCACAGCCTTGGGCTTGGCGGGGCTCTTGGCCGCCTTCTTGGGCTTGGCAGCGGACTTGGGCTTCTTGGGGCTCTTGGTCACCTTCTTGGCACCGGCGGCAGCAGGCTTCTTCGCCTTCTTGGGGGTCTTCTTCACGGCCTTCTTGGCGCCCGTCGCCTTCTTGAGCTTCTTGGGGGTTGAGCCTGCAGGCTTCCTGGGCTTGGCCGCGCCCGCCTTTTTGGCCTTGGGCTTGGCCTCGCCGGAGGCCGCCTTCTTGCTGATCTTGAAGGAGCCCGAGGCGCCGGTGCCCTTGGTCTGCAGCAGGGTGCCCTTGCTCACCAGGCTCTTGAGGCCCAGTTTGATGCGGCTGTTGTTCTTGTCCACGTCGTAGCCCGCGGCCGCCAGCGCTTTCTTGAGCGCGGCCAGCGAGAGCCCGTTGCGCTCCTTGGAGGCGGCGACCGCCTTGGTGATGAGCTCGGACACGGGCGGCCCGGACGCCTTGCGCTTGGCCGCGGCCCCGCCCGCCGCCTTCTTAGCCGCCTTCTTCTTGGCAGGGGACTTCTCCACGGGCGCCGGAGTGGCGGCCTCGGTGGGGGCTGTCTCCGACATGGCGGTGAGAGTGGCTGAAAGAGCAGAGAAAGAGAAAGTTCCTATCAAACCGAGAGAGGGCGGTTGTGGGCTGCCAGCCGGGCCGGACTTATATACGCCGATGCCGCGCTGTGATTGGTGGCGCGCCCTATCCACCGCCCTCGGGCGGCCACCTTTAACGGCTGGATTTACAAACTGTGTTTCTCAACCCCCAGATTCCGCTTAAATGTTCAAAACTGGGATACAGAATGTGAAGCTTTGAAGCTCCAAGGGCGGAAAGCAGACTCCCGGCTCGCTGACTTGTGCCTTTGTGCAACCCGTGCCACGGATAAAAGATTTTTTTTTTTTAAATCGCTACCATTTCCCATAGAAGTCCACCTGGTTTAGAGTATCACACTACTTAGTTACGTGTGGCAACAAATTTCTACTAAATATCAATGGGACCTTTTTTAAGAAGCTTTGTCCCTCAATTTGGCCTTTGATTTTTACAAGAGGAAAGACACGAGGTTCCGTGGTTTGGATAGTAACTTTGTTTCTAACTGTAGCAATAACATGGGTCTCAGGGCACCTGGTCATCAGGTAGATCTCACTTTGAAACCTGTTCTGCTTCCTAGGAGTTTCCAGGAGCCTCCGTCTTAGAGGCAGGTATTTTGCAGCTTGGAAAAGTGCAGTTGCACCAGGAAAAAGATAAATTATTTTGGCTTCAGGATCCAAAGACATAGATTCAAATTCAAACTTGAATTTTATATGTTTTTTATTAAGATGTGTTCTCTCTTTAGTCCCTACCCAAATCTATTAAAATAGGGATGAAAAAATGTTTAGTCCAGATAATCTTTTATTTTAAAAAATCTCTGAAACTTGCCCTAAAAAATTATTCAAGGGCTTCCAGGAGCTATCAAAAGCACAAAATGGGACTCTTATCTATTTCTAAGGTGCTTTCTTAATGCTCTCATACAAACTCCCCCCTGTCCATCAACATTTAACAAAGTGCACCTCTTCTGGGAGACATCCATGTGGATGTTATTGTGTTTAAGCAAACATAGACCTGTATTTTCAAAAGTAAATGGCAACTGACTAAGAAAGGTGGATTGGGGATTTCCTCCCCTCAGAAGAATTCAGAAAAGCATTATCACCCATGAGATCTGAGGCAATGACCAGGAGGCTGGCCTGGAGGGCAGAGAAATTTGCTATTTACTTAGAGGCATGTAGGTTGGGGAATGAATAGGATTTTGTGCCTGGCCCAATGATAAGGGAGATGAAATGATGACTGAGACCTCTCCCATACTCAACATTGGTTAGTGCTCCCTGGGCAACACTGTAGCAAAAGAGCCAGCACGCTTCTTTCAGCCCGTGGAAGTGGAACCATATGGCCACGGGTGGCCATATGTGGACAGTACCTTGTTTCTGTAAGGCCCTTAAGTTAAAAGTGGTGCTTGGATTTTTATATTAGAAAGAAAATATGTGACAGAGGCCACATTTGGCCACCAAAACCTAAAGTATTTATGATCTGGCCCTTTTGCTGTGTTTTGAACTCATCCGAATATTCATGGATCATGGGATACAAGCCTGCCTCTTACAAACAAGGAATAAAAAAAAAATTAACAAGAAAATGTTCTAGCCAAGCACTTTTAACTGTTTCGATCACAAAACTATAAAGGATCTGTGGCCAGGGTGTGTGTGTGTATGTGTGTGTGTGTGTGTGTGTGTGTGTGTGAAAGCCTCTATGCTTTAAGGGCAGGGTAGAGGTATAGTAACAACAGCTAATGTACAATGAGCATTTACTAAGTGCCAGGAGCTAATCTAAGGATGCCCTACAGATTTTAAATCATTTGCCTCATTTTATAACTATACAGGCTGAGAGAGAGAGACAGATGGGGGGAGGGGGGATGGTAACTTGCCAAAGGTTGTACATTTACTAATTGGGGGCTCTGAGGTTTGAACATGGACCACCTAGTTCCATTGCGATGGGAAATCCGAGGTGTGGGGAGAGGACAATCTCTAAAGCTCAGAACAGGCAGCACCAAGTTGTCCTATGCCTGGTAGCTTCTAGCTCCAAGCTCCTCTGCAGGAAGAGGCTTCAGCCCCAGGACAGAATGGGTGCTCAATCCATTCAGAGATCTTTCCAAAAGCTTCCCAGGGAGTGGATAGCTGGAATGTAAGGCACTCTGGAAGGGCAAATCCAAATCCAGAAGGGAAGGCCCCCATGGCTGCCCTGACTAAAAACACTGGAGAACTGCTTCCATATAGACCACTGCCTCCTGGGGCGAAGATGTTACTCCCATAAGGTAATTAAGCAGCGAAATGAGGAAAAGAGACACATCTGGAGCAGACATGAGATTTTAAAAGGCTGGAAATCTCGTTCTATTAAAAAGAACTCAAAATTACAAGTGCACATATAATCCCTAACCCGACACTACTAAAAAAAAAAAAATGGGCAAGGAAATCCTTAAAACAAAGGTTTGGAAAACAATGTTCTGTTGGGACGTTTTGGGAATTAATCTTACAAAGGACAGCTTGCAGACACCAAGGAAAACATTACATTGAAATTAAAACCAGCAACATTTTAAACATCAAAGGTGATACTTAAGACCCAACGGAGCAGGAATCCGCCAACCTAGGCCTTGGTTAGGCTTATGGGGCACAGGCAGCTGCCGGAAGCCAGACTATCACTCGTGTGCATTAAGCGTGCAAAATGGGGAATGTGCCCAGAATTCCTTGCCCACACTGAACTACCCCACAGGGCTGTCTAGGAGTCTTTAGAAGCAACAGCTCTTTGCAGACAGTTGAGGGGCTCTGAAAAGAGCCTTTGGGGGTGCGAATAGGGCCACAATTAGGCCCGCTCCCCGCGGATGCGGCGCGCGAGCTGGATGTCCTTGGGCATGATGGTGACGCGCTTGGCGTGGATGGCGCACAGGTTGGTGTCCTCGAACAGCCCCACCAGGTAGGCCTCGCACGCCTCCTGCAGCGCCATGACGGCCGAGCTCTGGAAGCGCAGGTCGGTCTTGAAGTCCTGCGCGATCTCGCGCACCAGGCGCTGGAACGGCAGCTTGCGGATCAGCAGCTCCGTGGACTTCTGGTAGCGCCGGATCTCGCGCAGCGCCACGGTGCCGGGCCGGTAGCGGTGCGGCTTCTTCACGCCGCCCGTGGCCGGCGCGCTCTTGCGGGCCGCCTTGGTGGCCAGCTGCTTGCGGGGCGCCTTCCCGCCCGTGGACTTGCGCGCCGTCTGCTTCGTGCGAGCCATGCCGAGAGCTTTGTGGTCAGTGAACGGGGAGCCAACTGGCCTGTATTTATAGCGACTCCCGCGCTCTGATTGGGCGGTACGCGCTCCTCCCATGGCCTCCCCGCGGATTTAGCTCTTAGTTTAGGAAACTATTTCCCGCCTGTTCGAGGTCTGTGATGATGTACAAAGAAAATGTCTTAGTGACCTTTAAGAAGCCTCTAGGATGCATTAAAAATTCATAAGAAAAGGTTATCTTGAGAATCTGAAAGCTCCTTGCTCTGGTTTAAATAAGAGATGTTCTAATAGGATTCTTAACGAAACGGAGCATGAGAGGGAAGTCATTTAAACGGAGGACTTGTGGTTTCAGCTTCTTGTCACTGTGTTGCCTCTTCTCAAACCTAAGCGGGTTTAGTAGTCGCTCCAAGCGCGTGTGGACACAGGGCGGCCAGCTTTTCTGTAAAAGGTGACACTACTTTCCCTGAGGTGTCAGGACCCGCAATGTGGGCTTGAGACCTTGAAGCCTGCGCTGCCCTGGGATGGGCAGGGGGTAACCAGGGGCCCTTAAACTGTTTGGGGCAAGTTACACCATCTACATTCCAGCGAACTCCCAAGTCCCCGCTAATCTAATCTGAGGGAGATGCTCTGAGGAATAAAGGGTTTTACTGGGAGTACCGGTTAATGCTTTTTTCCTCCCATAGCGTTACACATGTTGACATACATGTGACTTGATATGTATGCTATGTTGTTGTATTGCTCCTTTAGATGACCACTTGTTCTGATCGATGGCACATGTGCTTTCTGAGCAGCACTTAAAAACGTAAGAAAAAGTGAAAAATTGGGTCTCTGGATGGTCTGCCTCATAACAAAAGTTCTATTGGAACGGTATCCACAAATTGCCTGAAAGATGGGGGAAATGTGAAGCTGGCGATGGACATCACTTTAAACAAAGCACTTTTGATGTTTCTCTTGGAATTATCGTGTTTTATTACAAAATCCGCATTAACCGGTAAACGGTCAATCCACATTTAAAAAAAGAATTCGGATACTGGTTAATGCCCTGACCAGAAGCTAATAGCAATACTAACAGTTTAGCGTGGGGCGCAGGGAGGGGCCGGATTTGAGACTGAACCTCCCTAAGGCAGTTAGGCACTGAGCCAAACAGTCAGGGAGACGGAAGGGCTTTACCTTCCCACCTTTCTGACGCCCGAGGCAAGCAGGTGAGGAGCGAACAGGCCGCACTTCGGTGAAAATGTGCAGCTTTAATGCAGTTTCCATGGATATCACGACACCCCCACCCCGCAGGTGAGATTATGGGCTGGTCGGCAGAGCCTGTGGCTGAACCCTTAACTCTTTCCTGGCGCCCTGGAAACCGGGAGATTCCACCACAAACCTTAACCTGGCCCTGGGTGGGACCCCGAGGATGAACCTGGCTCCTCCAGCCCGTTTTCCCAGAAGCAGGACAGCGCTCAGCTCCTCCGAGAGGGAGTGGGCGGCCCTGAGAAGGGCCTTTGGTTCTGTGCAGGTGCCAGCAGGCAGGAGGCTCAGCCGCCGAAGCCGTAGAGGGTGCGGCCCTGGCGCTTGAGCGCGTACACCACGTCCATGGCCGTGACCGTCTTGCGCTTGGCGTGCTCCGTGTAGGTGACGGCGTCGCGGATCACGTTCTCCAGGAACACCTTGAGCACCCCGCGCGTCTCCTCGTAGATGAGCCCGGAGATGCGCTTGACGCCGCCGCGCCGCGCCAGGCGGCGGATGGCGGGCTTGGTGATGCCCTGGATGTTGTCGCGCAGCACCTTGCGGTGGCGCTTGGCGCCCCCTTTGCCCAGGCCCTTCCCGCCCTTGCCACGTCCAGACATGGCTGCAGTTAGTGAGAATACAGACTCTCGGGCCTCGCCAGCTGTGTTTATATACTCCTTCTGCGGACCTGTGTGGGAGCCTACTCACCCCCGCCACGCCCCACGCTCTTTTTCCGGAAAACGAAAAGGGCGGTTCTTTATCAAACCTCTTGGTTTAGAAAACCCCACAGCTTACATCATGTGCAAGGATAGAAAGCTGAAAGCTTTTTCTTTAATACCAGTAACAAGGCAAGGAGGTCCATTTTACCATTTTTTTTATTCAACGTAGTATATCAAACAAGAAAAATAAATAAAGGGCACCCACATGGGAAAGTAAGAAGTTAAATTCATGATTCCCACATGGCATGATACTAGAGACTCCTAATGTTTCCACACAAAAAACTTTTAGAACTAATAAATGAATTCAGTAATGCATCAGAATAGCGTTAGGATTCAGAAATAAGTTTCATGTTTATACACCAATAACACTATCAGAAAGAAATTAAAAGCACATCTGCCAGAGTGGAAATCATCAGTAAATTGCCCAGGAGCAAACTCGGGAAAAGTGGGCCCTTGTGCACTGTTAGTAGTAGGGTTGCGAATTGATGCAGCCACTATGGAAAAAGGTATGGAGGTTCCTCAAAAAATTTAAAATAGAACCACCATATGACCCAGCAATCCCACTTCTGAGTATTTATACAAAAATTTAAAAAAATAATTCGAAACGTTATATGCATCCTTTATGTTTGTCACAGCACTATTCACAATAGCCAAGTTACTGAACCTACATAAGTGTCCATCAATAGAGGAGTGTAATATATATATTTAATCACTGATCCATAAAAAGGAATGCAAGCTTGTCATTTATGACAAGGTGAATGGACCTAGAGGGTATTATGTTAAGTGAAATAAGTCAGATAGAGAAATACAAGTTCTTCAAAGATAAATGTCTTAAAGCCTAATTAAAAACTTCTTGCCCTGGCCGGTTTGGGCTCAGTGGATAGAGCATCAGCCTGCAAACTGAAAGGTCTCAAGTTTGATTCTGATCAAGGGCACATGCCCAGATTGTGGACTCAATCCCCAGTGAGGGGGCTTTCAAGAGGCAGCAGATAAATGATTCTCTCTCATCATGAATGTTTCTCTCTCTCTCCCTCTTCCTTCCTCTTTGAAATCAATAAAAATATATTTTTTTAAAATGCAAAAAACTCCTCAGTCCAACTTCTCTTCTACAGTTCTATCTTTGCCCACTCCCGGACAGCCATGCCTTTGTCTGGGTCATGCTTTGCTGTTGTTTTTTGAGGGTGGGGGGTTGGTTTGTCTATTTTGGTTTTATTATCTGCCACCTCAGCATGCACAGCCCTAGTGACTGTGACTGCTGGATCTGAGTGGCCCATCTCCAGAGAGGTGAGGGCCGTCCTCTGGGCCACGGGGAAGCCTTATGTGCAAAGTGCTTTCTGTAGAATCATCACTAAATCAGTGGCTGAGACAGGAATGGCCCAAGAACAGGAAACTTCCAGGTGGGCTCCTGACTGCTCCCCTTGGCTCTCTATCCTTTGCCTCACCTGCTACACATCCAGTCCCACGCTACTATCCTGTGGGGGTGGGGTGGGGGCGACTTCATCTCGGTTCAAAACACTTCCATTGTCTAAAGTTGTTTGAGGAAGATCTGCTTTTTTCTTTGGAGAGTCAATTAGCAGGCCCTGCGGGCTCTAGAAACACATTCCGGAGGATGCAAGAGGACTCCTGTTTGTTGTTTCTGGAAACACTGAGGAAATGTACCAGTGCTCCTCTATCTGGTGCAGGTAGTACACTCTGAAAGGTCTGTAACTTAACTGCGGTGCTTTGTAACTTAACAACAGTGCTTTGCCCAGGAAATAATAACATTCACATCTATGCTTCTCAAAGGTGTACTTCTCTCTGTTAAATTAGAGACTTGTTAATCCTCTTCTTCCACCTTCGTGGAAGAGACACCGAGACAGGCTCTGCAGATTTCTTAGCTTAAAAAAAGTTTAAGAATTTCATTTATTTAAATAAAGTATGACTCAATGCTTTTCTTTTGTCTTTCTCAGTAAATAATAAGACTGATTGACATGTGTTACCCAATAAATTATTGTTGAATAACCGTCATAAATAATTTTTCTCTCACACAGTAGGAAACATTTGATAGATTAATTAAAGAAGGTAACTGAGACTGGGATGCCAGGAGACAGGTACCTCCACTGACTGCTTCCAGAGAGAAAGAGGCTGGAAGGCACCCGGGAGTCTACTTTTAAGGGGAAGATAGGGGGACAGGACTTAGGGTACTCAGCGCACGCTGATTGATGATTAGGGATTTAGGGACTTAGGTATGGGGGGGGGGGCTTAGGATATTTGGCAGAATCTGATTGGTGGTTCAGTGCTCAGGTATGTCTGGCCACATGTTGGGTTTGTGTCTGACCATCAATTGGAGGAAGGAAGGACCTATCAACATTCTTTTCCAAGAGAAGTTTGGCAAACTTTTACTTTCCCCTTTAATCCGTTAAACACATGGACCGTACTGTCCTTAGCAGTGCTGAGGGTTACTTCCTGGTCTGCATGTCTCTAATGGACCATTTTGTAATGTTTGTGACAAGTGGAGTTGATCTTTTTCAATATGGTATATTTTCAACTTCTTATGCCACATATTTATTTCCTTGACACCTGATTTTGTTTTGTTTGTTTGGGTTAAGGCTTTGGAATTGGCTGATAGGTTGTGCTGTGTCTCTTTTACTTTTCTATTGCTCTGTACTCAACATTATTACTAGTGATTAGTTCCTATTTTAATTCTCATTTATTCTATCCTGAAAACACATACTCATTCATACATAAGCCCTTTGGAGGGTTTTCAACTCCATGAACTTGTGCCCTCAGGTCTCTCTCTCATTCTACAGTGTCCATCCAGGTCAGAATCTTAAGAATCTTAAGTACGAGGCATGACCACATGGAGCATCACTTCTTCTTTTTTATTTATTTATTGATTTTGTACAGAGAGGAAGGGAGAGAGAGATAGAGAGCTAGAAACATCGATGAGAGAGTCATCGATCAGCTGCCTCTTGCACACCCCCTACTGGGGATATGCCCGCAACCAAGGTACATGCCCTTGACCGGAATCGAACCCGGGACCTTTCAGTCCCCAAGCCGACGCTCTATCCATTGAGCCAAACCAGTCTCGGAGCATCCCTTCTTCTTGCTCACACCTTAGAGCCATCACAATCTCTGTTCTCATCCTTAAACTTCCTTGAACTTCTGCTGCCTCCATGTGCTAAAATATCAATTAAATGAACTTGGAGACCCAAATTCCATTGTGTCCCAAACTTTAGGCCTCATTCTCCCCTCATCTTACCACACCCTTTCCTGAGGTTCACTGTACCGTGTTCTTATCTGCTTATGCTTTAAAACTGACTTCCAGAGGTACCCCTTACTTTCTCCTGAAACTCTCTCAGGACCCAGAAGTATCCTCCAATTTATAAAGCTTTTCGTGACTTATTTTGCCTAAAACCCTACCATGTTTGTGCAATTTTGTACATATGACAACTGATGGTCTTCATGTTTTCTCTTAAGCTTCTGTTAATTTTGCTGGTTTTCATGACAGAAATATATCAAATAATACCTCGAAGAAGCTCTGATTTTCTTTCATGCACCTCCCCTTACTAATATCTTCTGGGTTTAATATTGATAGGACAAGAATTAGGGTGAAGGGGAGAGTCCTGGTATAGGGCTCTTTGCTGTCTTACCTCCCTGGCTTTAGAATAGGGACGTGATGGAGAACCCAGTGTCTAAGCTTCTGTCCATTGAAATCACACTCTGCTGTAGACAAAGTTGGTGTCTCATCAAAACTCCTAGGTTGAAACCTAATCCCTAATGTGATGATGTTTGCAGGTGGGGCCTTTTGGAGTTGCTTAGGCCATAAACTCAGAGCCCTCTTGACTGGGGTAGAGCCCCTATCAGAGAACCCAGCCATCCATCACCTCTTCCAACTCATGAGGACATCTTGAGAAGATGGCTGTCCCTGGACTAGGAAGAGGGCTCTCACCAGACAGTAAGTCTGTCAGAGCCTTGTTCTTGGCCTTGTCAGTTTCCAGAACCATGAGGATTAAATTTCTGCTGTTTTTAAGCCACAGAGTCTGTGGAATTCTGGCATAGCAGCCTGAATGAACTGAGCAGCTGGTGTTTTGCAAATCATGTGTATAAAGTACTCACATTTACTACCTTTGGTTTTGGTGTTTATTACAGGTAATTTGGACGTAAAGCTAGAAAACGGTTCGAGATCATAGCACAGGTGTCCAGGTGTGAACTGAATAACAGTAGCAAGATTAACTGAGCCTGGGGTTCAGGTCATGTTTTTGCCATTTACTTTTTTCTCTGCTCCTCCTCCTCCTTCTCCTCTCCTCCTTTTTGAGTACCTTTATTAAAGCTGGGCACAATAAAACGAAGGAAGGGCTTGTAGAAGCAGCAGGGAAGAGGCAAGGTGGTAGTCTGCTTTGACTCCATAAAAACGTTATAAGAAAGAAGTGAGCCAAGGTGGGGCTGCTTTTAGCTTACTGGAGAGAGAGAGAGAGAGAGAGAGAGAGAGAGAGAGAGAGAGAGAGAGAGAGAGAGAGAGAGAGAGAGGGAGAGAGATATCTGTTCTCTTCCTGATCAGAGGAATTTAAGCTTTTTTATTCTCCGGTTAGGGAGGAGAGAGAGAAACAATTTGTTCTCAAGTGTCCTTAGCTAGGGAAGATAGTCTGTCAATCCACTAGCAGTCGGTGAATTGTTTAAATTGTTTAATTATCTCATCTTGCTTAATTATCTAGTCTCAGTTTCCCCATTCCACTTGCCCAGGAACTTTCCCACCTTTCTTTTTTTTAATAAATATTTATTGTTGAAAGTATTGTATATGTCTCTTGCCCCCCCTTACTTGTTTCTTGACCTTAAAAGAGCATTTTATTTATTCATTGCCTTAAGTTATCTATGCCTTATTTGCTATCAAAAATAACATTCTGACGAATATTCTAATGACTCTGTAGGAGAATTTCCTTGGGGCACAGGCCCGCGCACATCCAATTTTACTAAATTGGTTCTGTAAATGTCTGCGTAGGTAAGACCACCATCTGTAAACCACCACATAAAAGCAAGCTTCTCCACCTCTTAAGCTTGGCAAAATTAACTTCTGATTTTGATAATCTGCTGGGTGTTATGCATTGTTTTATTTTGCATTATCTAATTACAAGTGACATTTAAAAAATATTTATACAATTGCTAGCCAGTCAGCTGTCTCCATTTAAAAAATAACTTTTTCCTTCAAAGTGAGTAATAAACCACTACATTCGAAGTTTATAACACAGTACTGTCATTCCTATAAAGCCTTTTTTAGGCCATTTAGACAAGTGAGAAACAATAACCCTAATTTAACTTTGTTTTCCTACAGCCACTGGAGGCTTAATTCCCATGTTCTCCTTTGATTCCCAGATCTGTTTAAAGGGACTTGCATGGGGTTTATCCCCAACAATAGTTGAGGGCGTTTGAAAGAAAAACTAGAACCCTGAGACCAATTTTCAGGTTCAACTACAAAACGTAATTAGCATATTTGTGAATGTCAGAAGTGGGTAAGGAAGGTGCCACTATCTACGCCCTGAACCCCTTGTTACGGGATGGGCTGAATCTTTCCTGTGGACAGATTCCTTCCCTTTACCTCTTTCCACGTGGATAACAAGTGTCCAAGTGGAGACTATCTTTGCAGATACATTGTCGCCTTTGAAACTGCTAGTGTCCCAAGCCACAGTCCCTTAAGCAACTTAGTTTCCCTAAATGGCAACCATAATGTAAACACTGAACTCAGTGAGGCCTTGCCAATCTTTACACTCCATTGGTTGAAGAAAGGGATAGATACCTAAAGTTGTGGAGGGAAGGCCAGGGACCCGTCCCCATTTCCCTCCATACTGCGCTGAGGTCTGCGTTATTAACCCGCCAGTAGGAGTGCAGCAGCCCCTGCCAGGGAGGAGGGAAGTGGCTCTGAAAAGAGCCTTTGGGTTTCCGTGTTGGTGCGAAGGACGGAGCTCAGGCCCGCTCCCCGCGGATGCGGCGCGCGAGCTGGATGTCCTTGGGCATGATGGTGACGCGCTTGGCGTGGATGGCGCACAGGTTGGTGTCCTCGAACAGCCCCACCAGGTAGGCCTCGCACGCCTCCTGCAGCGCCATGACGGCCGAGCTCTGGAAGCGCAGGTCGGTCTTGAAGTCCTGCGCGATCTCGCGCACCAGGCGCTGGAACGGCAGCTTGCGGATCAGCAGCTCCGTGGACTTCTGGTAGCGCCGGATCTCGCGCAGCGCCACGGTGCCGGGCCGGTAGCGGTGCGGCTTCTTCACGCCGCCCGTGGCCGGCGCGCTCTTGCGGGCCGCCTTGGTGGCCAGCTGCTTGCGGGGCGCCTTCCCGCCCGTGGACTTGCGCGCCGTCTGCTTCGTGCGAGCCATTGGGAACGAGGAGCCCTTAACCTAGAGAGGAGTGAGGAAGCTGGAGCTCAACCAGTTTATATAAGGCGAGACCCGCTCTGATTGGAACAGTTATCTGTCCATCAAGTCTCAGACTAAGTTACTGCGAACGGCAATCCCTTCTGGATAGGTGGGACTTCCGGTGGGTTAAGACCGAAAATTAACTTTTTCCTCCCAAGCACCCTTTCAGCAGAGTGTTTTCTACCGTCTTTCGTTACTATCGTCTTTATACCGTCTCTTCCACTATATTTTGGCGTCATCCCGGTAACAATGACATATGTTGTTCGCTTGAGAAGAATTGTAAATTTTGGCGCTTAACCTACCTTTCCTATGTTCCGTTTGAAAAGGCGCGCACCGGATGTGATTGGCTAAGGGACATGTTTTTGCCTCATTCAAATTTGGGAAGATGCATTTCAACATAAGTTGCTTGATTTCCACGTTTGACCTTAAACTATCCCTTCCCCCACCCCCGAGCTTGGAGAGTTTTGCATTTCCTGTTTTCATATACTTTTCCTAAATGCAACAAGACCATTAATTGATTTTATTTTCTGTGGCAACTACATTAATATATGTATCACCCATTAATCAGCATCCTCACAGAAAGCATTCCACTACGTTTTACATTTACCTGAGGCTTGTGAAAAATGAAGTTTGAAAAATACTCAAATTTATAAATGATGCAAAGATTACTAAGTGCCTTTTTAAAGTAATGCTGAAGATTGCTATTAAGTTCTAAGGACATGGGGCTGGGGCGGGTGAAAGCGGAAAGAGCGTAATTGACAAGACAAAAGTAAAGAAATGTGCATGACAACAGGCACATAAGTATGGTTTTCCTATTTGCAAACGGTTAAGGACCAGTGAAGTTGCAGACCCACCTAAAGGTGATTTGTCCTATTAAGATGCAAAACTACCCAACAACAGACTGAAAGATAGTTTTATTGCCGCAGGTCATTAACTATATTTGCACTTAAATAGACACCTTTGTCCAAGCATCCCCTTTATACACAATGTATTTCTTGTCTTAACCTGGGGGTATTGCTACATCATTGCCTTTACCTTAATTACCTGAAACCTAACACCTTTTGTTTCTACTTTAACTTTTCCGCTTAATCTTCTTAATGTTTCGTTAAATTTCACTCATGCGGTGTTTACTGACATCTACTGATGAAACCCGGTAAAAGCCATTCTTCAGCAGCTGTTTAAACAAAGAGAAAGTGCAAGCCCTTTCGCTGAGGGGGTGGGTGGCTCTGAAAAGAGCCTTTGGTTTTGAACGCTGCGACTTGCTCCTCACTTGCCTTTGGCCTTGTGGTGGCTCTCGGTCTTCTTGGGCAGCAGCACGGCCTGGATGTTGGGCAGCACGCCGCCCTGCGCAATGGTCACCTTGCCCAGCAGCTTGTTGAGCTCCTCGTCGTTGCGGATGGCCAGCTGCAGGTGGCGCGGGATGATGCGCGTCTTCTTGTTGTCGCGGGCCGCGTTGCCCGCCAGCTCCAGGATCTCGGCCGTCAGGTACTCGAGCACGGCCGCCAGGTACACGGGCGCGCCGGCCCCGACCCGCTCCGAGTAGTTGCCCTTGCGGAGCAGGCGGTGCACGCGGCCCACCGGGAACTGCAGGCCGGCCCGCGAGGACCGCGTCTTGGCCTTGGCGCGCGCCTTGCCGCCCTGCTTCCCGCGTCCAGACATGGTGATGGCAAAAAGAAAGCTTCTGCTCAGACCTGGGTCTGCCTTGAAGCGCCCGGAGCCGCCCCCTTTATAGTCGCGCTGGGGCGCGAAAGTGAGTCTGTGCCATTGGCGGCGGGTCACAGCCTTTCCCTGAGCCAATGGAGTCCCGGGTCTGAAATGCCCTGGTTCTCAATGGACGACACCCTGTGACGTGCCGGGGCTCGCCACCGGTCGGACACGCCTTCACCCCCGTCTCCTTTAAGGAGCCGGGACCAGAGGACACTCGCAGCCTCACTCACTCTCGTCCTCCCAGTGGTTCCCCAGCTTCTTCGGCGGCTCTTCCCGACCATGCCCTAACCCGCCAAGTCCGCTCCCGCCCCGAAGAAGGGCTCCAAGAAGGCGGTGACCAAGGCGCAGAAGAAGGACGGCAAGAAGCGCAAGCGCAGCCGCAAGGAGAGCTACTCGGTGTACGTGTACAAGGTGCTCAAGCAGGTGCACCCCGACACCGGCATCTCGTCCAAGGCCATGGGCATCATGAACTCGTTCGTCAACGACATCTTCGAGCGCATCGCGGGCGAGGCGTCGCGCCTGGCGCACTACAACAAGCGCTCCACCATCACGTCCCGCGAGATCCAAGTACACCAGCTCCAAGTGAGGCGACGTGACCCCTGTCAGACCCAAAGGCTCTTTTCAGAGCCGCCCACCTGCCGAGAAAGACTTGCTGTGCTTTGCCTATGTTTTGGGGATGATGAGAAGATTGTCTTGGGAGGACAAGCTAGAGTCTTAAGCACTGGTCACCAGCCGCCAGGCACTCAGTGTTGCGTGGGGTCCCCACGCTGTCCCTTCCCACAGCAAGGGTTTTGTGTGCAGTCAAACCAAGAGGTTCTTGCCCTGCTGGTGACAGATGACCAGGTGCCAGGTATGTTAGTGCACAGAGCTTGCTTCTCGATTCCACCAGCAGCATTTGCTGCACTAACACTGGAGTAAAAGGGTCATCTCAACACACCAAAGGGAAAGGTGTTTAACCCCAGTGAAGCTGCACAGGTGAGGGAGAAGCTGGTGACCATGGAATACCCCACCGGGCGGCAGCCCAGTGAGGGCAGGTTTGTGGGGTCATGAGGAGAGGGGCCTGCATGATTTAGGAGTCAACCCAAAGGCTGCATGTGGGCTTCTTTACACACAGCTCCCCCTCTTCACCTTTCTCTGCCATTTGACACCCGTGCTCTTGGGTTGTAAATGAGCAGGATGAAGGGAAGCAGTCAGTTTGTTCCAGAACAAGTGACTGTTGGAGTGTGTGTGGGCGGCTGAGGAATCCCCAGTTACACTGGAAAGTTCTCTTCATTGAATTCACGCTTTCTGCTTGGTTTCAGGTTCCATTCTGCCTCTTCTGATGACATGGTATCCCTAGGGCTTAGTTAAGATTTAAAAACTCCAACAGCTCCAAAATACATGGATTTGCGAGGGCAGAAGTCTTCCCCTCGCCTCCCTCAAAAAACAAACAAACAAGCAAACAAACAAACTATCCTGATGAGTCCAGTGAGGACAATCTCTAATTATCAGAGTGAGACAGGGCCCAGGGACTGACGTGTGGGGGGATCACCCTCTAGAATCTGCTTACGCTGACTTCCTGGCCATGCACAGGGTCCTCCTCTTCTCAGAGGAGCCTCTGATCTGGTTAATGCTCTGCTGTCATCACCTTAAAATCATTAATAATTTTTAATGAGACTCCACACTTGTTTTGCATGGAACGTCACCAACTATGTAACCGGTCCTCACATTGCCTTCTACATTCTATTGTCAGAAAAGGGGGAAAATCTTTCCCATGCTCTGCATTCTATCCTTTCTCCAAGGTATGTTAAGTGCAGAGATTGCCTCTCAATTCCACTGCCTAGAAACCAAACAGGGTGCACTGCTGATGTAACTTCTACCTAAATGAGACTATTAGCCTAAAAAGAAGTAGAAAGGAAGGAAGAGGAAAGAAAGAAAGAAAAGAAAAGAAAAGAAAAGAAAAGAAAAGAAAAGAAAGAAAGAAAGAAAGAAAGAAAGAAAGTAAGAAAAAGAAAGAAAGCTTTATTGACTTTCTGGGAGGTTAACTCACCCTCCTCAACCTCACAGAATCCAAGGATTACTCACCAGATGGTAAAAATAAGGCAGAGCTGGATAAATTTATGAAGTAAGGATGATTACAGGTTACTTTTGGTTGATCAGGATCCAGAACCTCTTCCAAATTTTGCATATAGTGCATAACTAATGAGAGAAACATAAGACTACCTGTCCACCCAAAAAAGGAGAAAGAGATAAATATTTTCATTAGCCTATTACAATGCATAATTTAAAATGGTTCCACCTGGCCAGAGTGCTCAGTGGTTGAGCATCGACCTCTGAATCAGGAGGTCACAGTTGGGTTCCTGGTCAGGGCACACGCCTGGGTTGCCAGCTCTATCCCCAGTAGGGGGCCTGCAGGAAACAACAATTTAATGATTTTCTCTCTCTCTCCCCCTTCCTCTCTGAAATCAATAAAAATACATTAAAGCCATCCCACCTTAGAAACACTGCTTACTTTTTGAAATAGACTTATTTTTTTAGTATTTTTAGATTTACATAACATTGTGCAGAAAGTACAGAGTTCCCATACACTTCCTTTCCCCCACTTCAGAATACCTCTTATTATTAATATCTTGTATTAGTGTTGTGCCATGTTCAGCACCATCAGGGGCAAACCTGAGTGGGGGCGGTGAAGGACTAAAGAAGACAGACAAAAGAAAAAGCTGGGGCTAGGTGGGACACTGCTCTCTGATGGAGAGACAATGACATGGCCTGCAAGCTGAGTCTTTATTTTATAGCCAGATTCCACGAGGCAAGGGGCGCGGTCCAGATGTTTACAATGTTCTCACAGGTTTCTACTCAATTACATGCTCCTGAACTCTATCAAGGATTGTTTTGGCAGCACTTGCTGCACTTCCTGCAGCCCATATCGCCACGTGGGACCACAGGTTCGGACCGTATGGTCAAGCTTGCATTATAGCCTTGGCTGTAATTGTGCTGGGAGGACTGTGCCCTCTCATTAGTCCGAGGCTCGAACCTGTCCAAACCCTGTCGCTGCTCTCCATATAGTGTGATACAGTTTTCACGATGGATGAACCAATATTGGTGCATTATTGCTACCTAAAGCCCACTCAGGGTTCATTGTGCCACACGGTTTATGGATTTAGACAAATACATAATGCCACGTGTCCGCCACTACAGAGCATACAGTGGTGTCACTGCCGTAAAATCTCCTGTGCTCCATCTATTCATCATCTATGCACCGCTCCCAGCCCTGGCAATCAGTGACCTTTTTACTGTCTCTGCA